CTGCCCGATCGAGACCCCAAGTTTTCGGTGGTGACGGAGCCGCTTGAGTCCTGCGGCGTTTTCGCTTTTGCTCTTCTCCACCGAGCTGAGCAGCTTATATTCTTACGTGAGGCAATTTCTCCTGGCTGACTTGGTTGGTGCCTATCGCGGGCCTACGAGGCGTAGGAACCTTAGGTCCCGGGCAGGTGCTTGCCGCAATTGGGACCAGTTGTTGAACCGCTTCCCCCTTCTTGATACTGTTGTGGTGGTGGGGCGGTAACGCAGGGTGGGCTTGGGAGAAATAGGAATCCCTTACTGGCACTGGAGGACGCGTTTATCCTTCTGCAGAACTACTGGTAATAATGAAACTGGAAAGAATAGATCTTGGTCTGCTGTAGTATTTTAATAGTTGATCGCTATTTATTTGGAGAAGGTTGCTAGAAAAGCTCGGGACCGACTTCGCCTTGGTTTACTTCCTCCTCTGGTGTTCAGGGTTGAATGCTACCTCCTCCATTTGCTATTGGTGCTAAAGGGTGTTTTGTTTTGTCCTTGTACTCTAGGACTTTCAAGCCAATCTGGTGAAACATTTGGCAGAAATAAGGAAAACATCTCCATCGTGAGTCATTTTGCATAGCTTTCCTGTTTAAACTTACTAGGATACACTGTTCCATATGAGGTTTGCTCTCTTCTGTTATGTCAAGTTGCTGCTTGAGTGGTCTCTGCCCGGATAGTAGAGGCAGTGCCACCTGTGGGTACCACTAACATTTTTTTCTCTAGAACTCCTAAATAGTACTAAGCACCAATTCATTAAAATCCTGTGCACTTAATATTTTTGACCTCCTTTCCAATAGATATTTCTGTTGTTTTTTTTTTAAACTAGTAGTAACTATTTAAAGTAAGTTTTAAAATAAACGTTAAATACCTAAAAATTACTGGCAAATGTTTTAAGATTGAGGGAGAAAAAATTGAGTTCTTTTGGTTTGTAAAATATTTTATTTTATTTGTATAGGTGTTTTGCTGCTCGGGTGCAATGTTCAAGAACACCAGAAGAGGGCAGTAAATCCTTTAGAACTAGAGAGCAGGTTGGGAGCTGCACTGGAAGTGTGGGGACTTAAATCCTGGTCCCTTGGAAGAGCAGCCACTGAGCCATCTCTCCAGCCCTTGTGATTTTTCTTCCTCTTCTCTCTACCACCACCTCCTCCTCCTCCTCCTCCTCCTCCTCCTCCTCTTTTTTTTTTTTTTTTTTTTTTTTTGGTTTTTCGAGACAGGGTTTCTCTGTGTAGCTTTGGAGCCTATCCTGGCACTTGCTCTGTAGACCAGGCTGGCCTCGAACTCACAGAGATCCACCTGCCTCTGCCTCCCGAGTGCTGGGATTAAAGGTGTGCGCCACCAACCCCGGCCCTATATAGTACTTGTTAACCCTATCTTTTTTATTTTTGAGAGAGAGAGTTGGATTCGCTGGAGCTGGAGTTCCAGGTATTTGCAAGTGGGATTAGTTGGGTGCTGGAATCAGAACTCTTCCTCTGGAAGAACAGCAAATGCTCTTAACTGTGAGCCATCTCTCCAGTATCCATCAGATGTGCCTTTTTAAAGTTAGGGTAGTGTCAGACTGTAGAATTCTCTGTCTAGTTTTTAAGAATGGATATTTGACTGGGTGTAGTGGCACATGCCTTTGATCCCTGTACTCAGGAGATAGAGGCAGGGGGAACTCTGAATTCAAGGCCAGACTGGACTATATAGAGAAACCCTGTTGGAGAGATGTGGTAGGGGGGAACCAGACACACAAAATTAAATAAACATTTTAAAAAATCATACAATTAAATAATACTAAATAAACATTTAAAAGAATTTAGACACTATAATATGGTGGGTTGTGACACATGCCTTTAATCCTAGCAGTTAGGAGTCAGAGGCAGGCAAATGTCTACAAAGTGTCAGGACAGCCAGGGCTATACAGGGAAACACTGTCTCAAAAAGAAAAAATACAATGGTTTTGATAAAGGTTTGCCAAAGGTGTTATGATCCACATGTTGCTGCTGCTTTAGAATTTCAAAGCCCTAGGGCATTGGTGGTGCACACCTTTAATCCCAGCACTTAGGAGGCAGAGGCAGGCAGATCTCTGTGAGTTCGAGGCCAGCCTGGTCTCCAGAGTGAGTGCCAGGATAGACTCCAAAGCTACACAGAGAAACCCTGTCTCTGAAAAACCAAAAAAAAAAAAAAAAGTAGTAGTAGTAGTTCAAAGCCTTGGGGCTAAAGAAATGGCTCAGACATTAAGAACATTTGCACTTGAATATTAACACCCACGTGGCAGCTAACAACTGTTTGTAACTCCAGTTCTAGGGGGATCTGACACCTTCATACAGAGACATACCTGTGAGCAAAACATCAATTCACATGAGATAAAAATAAATTATTTTTTAAAAAGAGTAATGAATTGGGGATTTAGCTCAGTGGTAGAGCTCTTAGCTAGCAAGCATAAGTTCCTGAATTTTGTCCTCAATTTGCAGTGTGTGTGTGGGGGGGGCGGCTGGGGGTTGAAAGTGGTTCAGTTCCCAGCATTCACGACTTCATTCATGGCTCCGAACTGTTTGTAACTCCAGTTCCAGGGAACTGGGCACCAGGCCTACAGGCAGTGCATAGATAAGCATTCGGGCAAAACATCCATATATGCTAAATAATTTTTTAAATATTTACAATAAGTAAAAGTCCACAAAGTTTCTTAACTGGGTACTCATAAATAAAACATAGTTACACATTTATTATTCCAAGAGAGAAGAACCATGCAGTTACAATTGATGAAAGCGAAACCAGAATTTGACAATATAAACAAACAGTTCAGTCTGACATATGGGATTTGACTCATGATCTTTTGGGCTCCAGAGACCTTTGGGCAGCTTCACTTTCTGAAGCTCTGCCATCTGCACACACAGGGCTGTCTCCTGACTCCAACCTGCTCCGCTTCACACCTGCATCTGTCTTTGGCCTTTTCAGAATCCTGGACTCTCCAAAATGCATCCCAGCACTTGGGAGGCAGAGACAGGCAGATGTCTTGAGTTTGAGGCCAGCCTGGTCTACAGAGTTCCAGGATAGCCTGGACTGTTGCACTGTTGCACAGTGAAACCTGTCTTGAAAGACCCAAAAAAAAAAAAAAAAAAAAAAAACAAGAGGAAGAGCAGAAAAGGCCTTTGTCTGACAAAAGGACTTAAGTAAGCTTCCTAAGGTGGGGGTAGGGACAGACAAGAAAAAATATAAAGATAAAAATAATTGACAACGTGAGAGAAATGGGAGTTACAGTATTATAGACATTAGTTAATAAGATCATCTGGTATAGTAATTATGTAAGGACCGTGAGTTGCTGGTATTTGGTGGAATTTTATTATTTTTTTTTTTTATTTTGGTTTCAGTTTTTTTGAGACAGGGTCTCTGTAGCTCTGTTTGTCCTGGAACTTTTCTGTGTAGACCAGACTCGCCTCAAACTTAGAGCTCCTCTTGCCTCTGCTTCTGCCTCTTAAGTGCTGAGCACTGGCTGCTCTTCCAGAGGTTCTGAGTTCAATACCCAGCAACCACATGGTAGCTCACAACCAATCTACAATAGGTTCATAGGTTCTGATGCCGTCTTCTGGCCTGCAGCTATACATGCAGAGCACTCATGCATTAAAAAAAAAAGTACAAATTAATAAAATTAGAAAAACATTTTTTTTTAAGTTGTGTGCCACTGGCCTCTCTATAGATAGAGGCCTCTCGATAGATAGATAGATAGATAGATAGATAGATAGATAGATAGACAGACAGACAGATTGATTTTTTTTTTTTAAATTGTGTCTGTGTGGACATGTACAGTTGTGGATGTATGTAGGTCCCTGTGGAGTCTAGATGAGGTATCAGGACCCCTGGAGCTGAAGTTAAATGCAGTTGTGATTCTCTTGGTATGGATGCTGGAAACTGAACTCAGGTCTTATAAGAGAACAGTAGACCCTCCTAACTGCCAAGCAATCTCTCCAGCCCAAATTTTGTTAAAATTTAAAGAAAGCATAGGCTATTTTTGTTGTGAATGGAGAGTAGTATAAAGTGGACATAGTTATTATCAAACTGCATAATTTTCATTAAACTCCACAAAGAAGTGGAATTTAACAAAGTGGTTAACAGGAAATCAGAATAAGTATCACATAATTTTTTTTTTTTAAACAGTGTTATTGGTGCAGTAAAATGAAAATAATCCTCTTTGTTTTCTGTCTCTTACAGATTCTCTGGCATGGATAAATATTCAGTGGGATGATTAGGTGACTGTACAGGCTTATGCTTTACTAGGAAATTTAGCCATGGCAGCTCATCTCACAGATGTGGATTCATTTGGTGATCCAGCTAGTTCTTTAGTCAATGCATCTAGAAACTCACCTGTGGAAGATGATGATGTTGTGTTTGTTGAATCAGTACAGCCTCCAGTTTGTACTCCAGCAAGAGCTGAGGAAAGGAACTTTGTATTTGCATCTTCAAAACACGAAAATCCACAGGGAAATTATTCCATAATTCCTCCTTCTTTGAAAGATTTGACTTCTCAAAAGGGAAATACATATGAAACAATTGTTATTGATGATGAAGGGGACACAGAAACAAATGGAGGGGATGAGAAAAATCCTACCAATTTTACTGAATGGGAACCTCATGGAAACAAACATAGTACCAAGAATTTGGATTTCTTCATTTCCAGTCTATCAAGAAGTAAGGTAAATTCATGAATGAGTATTATTGGTGTCACTACAGAATTGACTCTAATAATACTAATGTTACAACTTTAGAAACAGTTGTAAGCCCTGAATGCTGGGTGAGATAGAAGCTTAATGATTGTACATCACTGTAGAGTACCAGTTTGGGAGATGTCACTCAAGGATGTAATGTTAATGTACAAATATATACCTCATCTTTAACTTCACAGACCAAGACTGGTGTAGGACCTTTTAATCCTGGTAGGATGGATGCAGCAGATGCACTTCAGAATGGAAGATTTGCAGCACACCACAATCCTGGTACGCAGTAAGTTGTATGAACTTTCTGTGTGAGTCTGTACATGTGTGTCTGGAGGCCAGAGCTGTCTTCATCTGCTAACCTCCCTCCCTCCCTCCTCCCTCCCTCCCTCCCTTCCTTCCTTCCTTCCTTCCTTCCTTTCTTTCTATGTTAATTTATTTTTTACATTCCAATCCCAGTTCCCCCTCCTCTCCTCCCTATCCCCTTACTTCACCTCCCATCTGCTCCTCGGAGAGGGGAAGACTTCCTCTGGGAGTCTACTAAATCTGTCCCATCATCTCGTTGAGGCAGGACCAAGGCACCTCCCCATTCCCCACAACCCTGTGTCTAGGCTGAGCAAGGTATCTCTCCATATAGAATGGGCTCCACTTAGTTTGTACATTAGAGTTAGATCTTGGACCCACTGCCAGAGGCCTCATATATTATCCCAGCTGCACTACTGTCACCTATTCAGGGAGTCTAGTTTGGTCTTTTGCAGGTTCCCCATTTGTCAGACTTGAGTTAGTGATCTCTCACTAGTTCACATCAGCTGATTCTGTGGGTTCCCCATCATGGTCTTGACTCCTTTGTTCATATTATCCCTCCTCCTTCACTTCGGTTGTATTCCAGGAGCTTGGCCTGATTGTTAGTTGTGGATTTTTGCATCTGCTTCCATCTGTTTCTAGAAGAGAGTTCTAGCTTCTCTGGGGTTGTGGATTATAGGCTGGGTATCTTTTGCGTTATGTCTGGTATACATTTACGAGTGAGTACATGCTGTATTTGTCTTTCTGGGTCTGGGTTACCTAACTCAGGATGGCTTTTTCTGGTTCTGTACATTTGCCTGAAAATTTTAGGATGTCATTGTTTCTTACCACTGAGTAGTACTACATTGTGTAAATGTACCACATTTTCTTTATCCATTCTTCAGTTGTGGGGAATCTAGGTTGTTTCCAAGTTCTGGCTATTACGAATAATGTTGTTATGAACGTAGTTGAGCAAATGTCCTTGTGGTTTGAGTATGCCTCCTTTGGATATATGCCCAAAAGTGGAATTGGAGGTCATGAGGTAGGTCAATTTCTAATTTTCTGAGAAATCGCCATACTGATTTCCACAGCAGCTATACAAGTTTGCACTCCCACCAGAATGGAGTAGTGTTCCCCTTTCTCCATATCCTTTCTAGCATAAGCTGTCATTGATGTTTTAATTTTAGCCATTCTGATGAATGGGTATCTCATCTACCTTATTTTTTGAAATAGTGGTTGGTTTTTTGTTTGTTTTTTTCCTGACCCTGATGCTTACCAGTTCAGCTAGACTTGTTAGCTGGCAAGTCCCAGGTTTCCCTTTTTCTATTTTCCCAACAATGGGATTATAGATGCATGCTCTTTTTTTGTTCCTTTTTTTTTTTCTGTGTCTTCTTGGCCATCCTGGAACTCACACTGTAGACCAGCCTGACCTCGAACTCACAAAAAATTTTTTTTTCCTTTTTAACCTTAAAAAAAAATCTTGAAGGGTCTCACTATGTAATCATGACAGCTTTTAAACTCAGACTGCCCTCAGCCTCACAGATCCTCCTGTCTCTGTCTCCTGGGTGTAAGGATTAAAGGTATGTGCCACCATTACTGGCTTAACTTAAAAAGAAATTCCCTATTATTTATATTAAGAGTGTAAGAGTGAGAGAGAGAGAGAGAGAGTGTGTGTGTGTGTGTGTGTGTGTGTGTGTGTGTGTGTGTGTGTGTTTTTTGTTTGTTTGTTTTTTGAGACAGGGTCTCACTGTATCTCTGACTGCCCTGAAACTCACTATGCAGAACAGGATAGCCTCAAACTCACAAATTCCAGAGTACAGAAAATAAAAGAGTGTACCATCACACCCAGCTTCCCTTGCATCTATGGAAAGATCTGGGATAAATAATATAGGCCTCAAAAACACATAGCAGGCCCAGTCTCTCTTTCTCGCTTCCTGCTGCCTGCTGATCAGCATGTAAAGTTCTCAGCTACTGCTCCAGCACCATGCCTGTCTGCTTTCAGCAATATTAATCATGGAATGACACTCTGAAAGTGTAAGCAAGCACCTAACTAAATGGTTTCTTTTAGAAGACTAGTCTTGGTCATGATGTCTTTTCATAGCAACAGAACAGTGATTAAGACAGACTCTTGTAATCTTAAAATGTATCCTGAAGATGTGATGTTGGAGTTTTGGCTATAAGTTGACCAGAAACACTAATACCTCCTCCTCTGCTCTGCCAGTTGGTAAATTAACTGACTTGTTTTGGTTTTTGTTTTGTTTTTTTGCAGCAGGGTTTCACTGTGTAGCTTTGGAACCTGTCCTGGAACTCACTCTGTAGACCAGGCTGGCTTCGAACTCAGGGAGACCTTCCTGTCTCTGCCTCCTGAGTGCTGGGATTAAAGTGGTGCAACACCACCGCCCCGGCATTAACTGATGTATTTAAAGACAGGGTGTCTAGAACCTAGACTAGGCCTAGGACTCATTCCGTCATCTTGCCTCTGTAGCACTTGGGATTGCAGGCATGCAGAACCATACCCAGCTAAAAGTTCTATTTAGGAATTTAAATATTTACATTGGAAAAATGGACACAATTGCTTTATGTATGTGCCAAACCTAAAGTGATTTTTTTTTTTTTCAGATAAACTACATCTTAGGCAATATAGTAAGGGTATCTTAGTTTCCTAATTATATATAAATATGCTTCCCTTAAGTATCAGTAAGTCCACAAGACTGTATTGAGAGTTGAGATTTTATTTCTCCCATAGTATTAGTAATGACAAATCTTGTAGAGATTGCTGTGTTTTATTCCTGCTGCTGCCTAAATCTGGTTTGTATCTGAATTTAAGTTAGCAGAGAAAGTTTAACCCCAGAGTATAACTTCTATTTATTATTACTTATTTTTATTTATGTACTGGGGAATTAGTTATAATTTCAGTATATAACATAAAAAACAATACAGAGGGATGAGAATTTTATCTAGCATGTATATCCCTAGCATCACAGAAAAGTAACAACAAACCCTAAGAGCTTATTGTACTTGCATAATCTAGTAAATTCAGGAGACAGATTTTGTCTGAGGAGTCTGACAATAAATAGCTGGTGATTTGCCACATGTCATAATCTTAGGAAACATTTACTTTTTCCCTGATGAAAGGTAATTCCTAGAATGCAAATGAAGTAGTTGTATTAGCTACTTTTTAAAAATATTTGTTATTAAATACCTGAAAAAAGCAGCTTGAGGTAGAAGGGACATATTTTGGCTCATAGTTTGAGAGAGTATAATCCACTGCAGCAGGGAATGATGACAGGCATCCCCAAAGCTAGAGGAGCCAGTGGCAGCTGCCTGTAACATTTGATTTTAGAGGTGGTGTTGCCCAGGCTAGCCTCAAACTTGTGGTCATCCTACTGTTTCCATCATACCAGGATTATAGATTACACCACCACCCAGGGTAGTACTTGCTTCTTACATGACACCACAGAGAGCTGGGCCGTAACTAGTAAGCTAGTGCTGTAACCTTACGACCTTCCCCTTAATCCCTGTCTCTACCAGGTAGGCCCTGTATACACCAGCTGGATACAACTGTTGAAACAAATGAACTCACAGGAAACATTTCATACCCAGTCAAACAGTGGGAGGAATCCTGGATTGATTGTCAAAGATATTTTGCCTTAACCACGTACTTAAGAATCTCTTCAAGATTTAAATTCAAATGTGTCCTAATGTGTATTTTTATTTATTCCATAACTTTTTCTTATGTGTTTCATTTTTAAGATTCATGGATCTCACAATCAGCATCATTTCCTCGTAACCAGAAACAGCAAGGGATGGATTCTTTATCACCAGTGGCCTCACTTCCTAAACAGAATTTCCAGCCCTCAAACCAGTATCTTACTAAACCTAAAATCACTTGTGCAAACTGCAAAAATCCTCTACAGAAGGGACAGACGGCTTATCAGCGAAAAGGATCAGCTCATCTCTTCTGTTCAACTACCTGCCTTTCTTCTTTCTCTCATAAACGCACTCGAAAGACACGGAATGTAACATGTAAAAAGTAAGCAGACCTCAGTGTTTCTCCATGTGGTTTAATGCTACCGGTATAAATAAATACTCTGGATATAAATGTAAGCTAGACTTGTGGTAGATGTTACAGAGATGTTTTCAAGGTTTTTTTGTTTGTTTTTTGTTTGTTTTTAAAGATTTTATTTATTTATTATGTATACAGTCTTCTGCCGGCATGCCAGCAGAGGGTACCAGATCTCATTCAGAGTGGTTGGGAGCCACCATGTGGTTGCCAGTAATTGAACTCAGGACCTCTGGAAGAGCAGTCAGTGCTCTTAACTGCTGAGCCATCTCTCCAGCCCAATGTTTTCAAGTTTTAAGATTGGGTTATTCTAGAACTTTAGGCTCATCTATACTGTAGGGGTTTTTTTTGGTTTATTTTCCAGACCCCCTATATACTGTAGTTTGAACAGAAGAATGTGTGGAGGTACAGAAATATAGTACCCTTCTCTTGGGTGCTACATTTGCCTTTCCCTTTTTACATGTGGGTTTTGTTTTGGTTACATTGTGTGTGTGTGCCTCTGTGTCTGTGTGTGGTGTGCTCACAAATAACCCACTGAAGTTGGTCCTTTCCCTCTACAATGTGGGTCCCAGGAGATCGAACCTAGGTCATCAAGCTTGACAGTAAGTACCTTTTCCGTTCGGGCCATCTCTCTGGGCCCACTCCCAAAATTTTTTAAGAGTTATTTTTATGGGGCTGGAGAGATGGCTCAGTGCTATAGAGTACTGGCTGCTCTTGGTTTTTCCAGCATCCAGATTAACTGTAGTTAACTCCAGTCCCAGGGGATTCAACACCATCTTTTGGCTCCTGTAGGCATTGCACCCATATGGTAAAAAGACATACATGTAGGCAAAATAACCATATACATAAAATAGAAATAAAGGCAAAAAATTTTTTAAGTTGTGTTTGTTTGTGTGTAGGTACATGTGAGTACAGGTGCACTCAAAAGTCAGATGTTGCATCACTCTGTAGCTAGGGTTGAAAGGTGGTACTTCATGTAGGCTAGGTACCAAGCCCAGGTTCTCTATGAGCAGCAGTACAATGCACCAACAAGCCATCTCTTTAGCAGCATTGGTTTCTTCCTACCAGTATTTTTTTGTTTTGTTTTGCATGTGTCTATGTAAGTATACTTCATGCATGCCTGGTACTCTCAGAGGCCCGAAGAAGATGCTCGGTTCACTGGAACTGGGGTTAAGGACAGTTATGAGCCTCCATGTGAGCACTAGGAACCAAACCTGGGTCGTCTGCAAGAGCAACCAGCACTCTTTTTCGACAGGGTTTCTTCACATAGCCCTCGCTGTCCTGGAACTAGCTCTGTAGATGAGGCTGGCCTCAAACTCAGATCCACCTGCATCTGCATCCTGAGTGCTGGGATCAAAGGTGTGTGCCACCACCACCCAGTGCAGCCAGTACCCTTAACCACTAAGCCATCTATAGCCCAACTACTAGCATTTTTTAATCCTTGAATTCTATGAACTTTAGTGCATTTTTGATGTTACAAAGGAGTTTTCTCCTGTATTATTTAGGAAATAGTGGAAGTAACACTGGGAGTGGATTTTCAAGTACAGTGATCTTAACACATTTCTTTCTCCCTTGTATTCCAGAGATTATCCTATGAAGACAGCAACTGTTATTCCTCCAGTGGAGTCAAGCAAGTCTTTACCAGAACTTCATAGTGCATCTCTGTCTTCCTGTGAATACTCCCAGAGTCTCAGAAAAGAAGTTTTTACTAAGTCAAGATGTATAATGTGTAATAAATTAGGAGAGGTCTGGCTTTTTATACTGCTACTATTTAGGCTCCTAGGAATAATGCTGAGTTTTAAGTACCAGAGTAAGCTCTGCCATCTACATAATGTCCATATTCCAAACGCTCAGGTTGGAAGAACTACTGAGATGTTAGAATTCTGTTTATTGAAAGAATTTACCAATAAGCGGTGGTGCACATTTTTAATTCCAGCATCTGAGGAGCAGGGGCAGGCAGATCTCTGTGAATTTGAGGCCAACCAGGTCTATATACATTGAGTTTCAGGACAGCCAAGGCTGTTTAAAAGTGAGGCCTTGCCAGGTAGTGATGTCAGCGCATACCTTCAGTTATAACACTCGGGAGGCAGAGACTGGCGGATCTCTGTGAGTTCCAGACCAGCCTGGTCTATAAGAGTTAGTTCCAGAATCTCTTCCACCCCTCAAAAAAATATATGTACTATAGAAAGTACATGTCTGTTTCTGTGGATTTAGTTGTAATAATACAGTAATTTTAGGACAGTGAAAGAAGCAACAGATCCTATAAGAATGTGTGGGACAAATGGCTTGATGCATGTTCAAGAGAAAGAGTCAGACATTATTCAGGGGGTCCTTTATTTTACATTGTCCTTGGTACCTCATTCTGATGTTAGGTAGCTTTGGGGGCATTCAGGTTGTTTCAATTACAGCTGTAGAACCACCTTACTGCTGTGTGCACAGACAGCATTCTAAGTATGGATAATGATTCCCCTCATCCTCCTCCCAAGTATTGTAAGGAAGGATCCAAATACTGTAGGGTGGTAAATTGTATACTACTGTCTTAAGAAATTTTGTTTTCTTTTAGGTTCGCCATGAAATCAGTGTTAACAATGTAACACATAAACTGTGTAGTAACAATTGCTTTAATGAATACAGATTTACTAATGGTTTAATAATGAACTGCTGTGAGCAATGTGGCAAGTACATGCCCAAAAACACTGGACACAGGGTCCTGATTACAGGTCAGCAAAAGAGCTTCTGCTGCCAGAATTGTGCCACTGAATATAAAGAGGTAATTCATTGTTTGATTTGTTCCTGAAATATTATTTTATGTACATGTTTGTCTGCGCATCACATGCATCCTTTATGCCCTCAAAGGCCAGAAAACAATGTTGGATCCTCTGGACCTGTAGTTACAGACAGATGTGAGCCAACATGTGAGTTCTAGGAATGTAACCCAGATCCTCTGGAAGAGCAAGCACCACAGTGCTCTTAATTGCTTAACTTCTCTAGCCCCTAATAACCCCCCCTTTTGCTTGTGTGTGCATATGCATGCGTGTTTATGTGAATGCAAGTGCCTGTGTGTGAAAGTTGGAAGACAACCTGGGGTCTGTCCTTGCCTTCTACCTTGTTTGAGACAATTATCTCATGTAATTAGTGTACCAGGCTATCTGGCCTTAAAGCTCTGTCGATTCTCTTGTTGCCGTCTCCCATTGTACTGCAGGAGTACTCAGCTTCAAGTGTTTACTGCTATGCTGGGCTCTTAAGTTTTAATACCTGTGATGATGGCATGTGCCAGCACTAGGGAGGCAGGGGCAGGTGGATCTCTGAGGTGGAAGCCACTCTGTTCTACCTAGGAAGTTAGATCATCCAAGGCTACAAAACAAGACCTTGTCTCAGAGATGTGGCTAAATACTATTATTAATTTTTTTTTCTTCAAGACAGGGTTTCTCTGTGTCTTTGGAGGCGGTCCTGGAACTTGCTCTTACAGACAAGGCTGGTCTCAAACTCAGAGATCCGCCTGCCTCTGCCTCTGCCTCTGCCTCTGCCTCTGCCTCCCAAGTGCTGGGACTAAAGGTGTTCGCCACTACTGCCCAGCTATTATTATTTTTTTTCTTTAGCAATTTCATAAATAGCTGGGTGGTGGTGGTGCACGCCTTTAATTCCAACACTTGGGAGGCAGAGGCAGGTGGTGAATCTCTGTGAATTCGAGGCCAGCCTGGTCTACCGAGCTAGTGCCAGGATAGGCTCCAAAGCTATACAGAGAAACACTGTCTCGAAAAACCAAAAAAGAAGAAAAGGTTTGAAGAGAAGAAAGTAAGATGGGGAAATATGTGTAATCAAAAGGCCGCAGCTGTCTATCTTGATCTTATTTAAAAGTGGGCAGTAGCAGGTCTTCAGAGAAGAGCAGTAGAGAAACCTAAGTGATATATGAACCTTTTAAGAAAAAGCAGAGGGCTTCCTTGGTATACACATAGTTCTGGGTTAAGTCCCTGATAGCACCACCACCACCACCACCCACACACACACAGAAAAAGAAAAAAAATAGTTGCTTATCACTGAATAATGAGTAGAGTCATAAAATATAAAGCTATTCTTTTTTTAATAAGGAGCTAGATGGTTCAGTGGTTAAGAGCATTTGCTGCTTTTCCAGAGGACAGAAGTTCAATTCCCAGGACCTACATCAGGTGGATCACTACCACCTGTAACTCCCAAGAGATACGACGTCTGGCCTCTACTGGCACCACTCCCCAAATAAAAACAAAAATAAAGTTTAAGAAAATACTTAGTTATATGAAATAAATGGTTACTATGGTGTGTGGCTAATATATGAGTGTGAGTGCAGGTGAACTTCATACCCTCGTATACAGGTGAGAGGACATTGGAGTCAGTGCTCTTCTCATTGAGTTTCAGCAAGTGTATTTATTGGCTGAGAAACCGAAGTTCCCCAAATCACTTGATCTAAGCCAGTGATTGGGGGAACATTTTTTACTGCCAATGCTTTAAGGGTGCTCTTGGCATCTAGTGGGTAGATGCTCAGTATGATCTTCTACATCCTGTTGGCACATGATAGACCCTCAACAAATCATTTTGCCTAAGGCATCCTGTGACTGGGTGTGTGGCTGGGTTATGTGAATGTGAATTCCCATCATCCTTACTGAGAAGTCTGTTGATACCAGGTGTGGTAGTAAATGCCTTTAAAATCAAAGCACTCAGGAGGCAAAGGCAGGTGGCTCTTAGTGAGTTCAAAGCCAGCCTGGTAGTAAGTTCCAGAACAGCCAGGGATTTGTAGAAAGCCCCTGTCTCCAAAAAAAAATCAAAACGAGAAGTCAGTGATTATTTTTGTTTGTTTGTTTGGTTTTTGTTTTTGTTTTTCCCCAAGAAAGGGTTTCTCTGTGTAGCCCTGGCTATCCTGGAAGTTTTTGTAGACCAGGCCTTCCTCGACCATAAAGAGATCTACCTGCCTCTGCCTCCTGAATGCTGGGACTAAAGGCATGTACCACCACACGCAGCCCAAGTTGATGATTCTTAAATTAGGAACAAAATAATTAAAGGATAATCCATGATTTGCAAATTAAGGGGATTGGTATATAGCTCATTATTGCTTACCTAGCATGCATAAAACTCTGGGTTCATTCCAAGTACCTCATAAAACTGGCGTGTAGGTACATTCCTGTATTCCTGGCACTCAGGAGGTAGAAACTGAAGGATCAGAGTTTTAGGGTCAGGCTAGAGAGAGGGTTCAGTGGATAGACACTTGTCACCAAGTCTGACAATTTGGGTTCAATCCTATAGCCTACAGGATGAGACTGAACTGAATTGTCCTCTGACTTCCACATTTGTGTCATGGTCTATGTATATACATTTACATCTACCTAAAATAAAGAAATGAAAGTTCAAAGTCATCCTTGGCTATGGAACAAACTTGGGGCCAGCCTGGGCTACATAAAAATCTGTTTTAAGTGCTGATTGGTCGCCAGGTGGTTCATGCCTTTAATCCCAGCACATGGGAAGCAGAGGTGAGTTCCAGGACAGCCAAGGCTCACACAGAAACCCTGTCTCAAAAAGTTTTTTAAAAAGGAATAAAGAAAATCGTTTAAAATGCCTTCCTTGTCTGCCATAATAAAATACAGTTCTGCCATGTATAGCAGGGAAAAGTCAAGGCCAGCCTGGCATTTAGAGAGACCATGTTTAAAAATTTAGTAAGGACTGGGTTGGGGGGGGGTCCTGGAAACATGGCTCAGAGGTTAAGAGCACTGACTACTACTCTTCCAGAGGTACCGAGTTCAAGTCCCAGCAACCACATGGTACCTCAAAACCATCTATAATGAGATCTGATGCCCTCTTCTGACCTGTAGGCATACATGAAGAGAATACTTTTTCATAATAAATCTTCAAAAATTAGGAAGGAAGAAAGAAAGAAAAACAAAAATATATTTAAAAATTTAGTAAGGGAATGGCACTTTCCTATGTTTAAGATATTGCTTTAATTTTTAGATATTTTATGTGCATGAGTGTATTGCCTGTGTTTTTATATGTGCGCCACATTCATGCCTGGTGCCCTTGTTGGTCAAAAGAAGTCATTGGATTCCCCTGGATTGGGATTACAAATAGTTGTAAGCCACCATGTTGTTGCTGGGATCAAAAACCAGGTTTTCTGAAAGAACACTGAGTGCTCTTAGGGACTGAGTTAACTCCCAAGCCCTCAGATTTTGTTTTAATTTTAATTGCATGTGTATGTGATTGTGTGCTTATGATTGCAGTTACCCATGGAGGCTAAAAGAGGCATCAGATCCCCTGGAAGATCCCCTGGAGCTTGAGTTACAGGCCTTTGTGAGCTAGCTGTACAACACTGGAACAGAACTTAGGTCCTCTTCAAAAGCCACACACTATACTGCTGAGCGATCTCTTGTTTTGCTTTTTGAGACAGTTTCTAGTCCAGCCTGGCTTGAAACTAGTTACGTTGCTGAGGATAACGTTGAATTTCTGACATCCCCCTGTAACCCTCCCAACCCAAAATTACAGGCATGTGTTACCCCCCCCCCCCAGCTAGCTTATGTGATGCTGTGTATCAAACCCAGAGCTTTGTGAGTGCTATAAAATAAAGACAACCTGAGCCCATGAATAAGGAAGGAAGGAAATGGTGTGTAAGTCTCACTTAAAATCCACAAATGCTTTTTTTCTATAATGGATTTGAAAAGTAATGATAAAAATGAAGAATGTGCCATGTCTGGTCATGGTGGCCACCTTTTTTTTTTTTTCTTTTTTTCTGAGACAGCGTTTCTCTGAATGTTTGGAGGCTGTCCTGGAATTCTCTTTGAAGACCAGGCTGGCCTTGAACTCACAGAGATCCCCCAGCCTCTGCCTCCTGAGTGCTGGGATTAAAGGCCCAAGCCACAAATGACCCACATGGTGGCAGACCTTTAATACTAGCACTTGGGATGTCTGTGGAGTTTGAGGCCAGGTGGAACTACATAGTGAAGCCTCTCAAAAAAAAAAAAAAATCTAATAGAGCTGGGCATGGTGGTGCACACATTTAATCCAGTACTCAGGAGGCAGGTGGAATTCTGTGAGTTCAAGGCCAGCCCGGTCTACAAAGAGTTTCAGCACAGCCAAGACTGTAACACTGAGAAACCCTGTCTTGGAAAACCAAAAAATAAATAAATAAATGAAGAATACTGAACAGAATATTGGTAACTACAGAAATAGAGATCTTTGTTACATATATACACTTGTGTACATGTGTAAAAAGGATTATGGCAATTTTGCCATTAAATTGCTTTTGTGGGGTGGGGGTACTGGGGAGGTGGCTCAGAAGTTTAGAGTACTTGTTGCTCTTGCAAGGGGCTCAAATTTGATTCCCAACACCCATATACTGGCTTACAATCATCTATAACCAGGCATGCACATAACTCATACCTGGGGGCAAAATACCTTTGTATAAGTAAATAAGCCTTAAAAAAAAAAAAAAAAAAAAAAAAAAAAAAAAGGGGACTAGATGGATGGATACCTTTAGTCAGAACAGAAGTAGGCAGATCTACATAGATTCAGGGCAGCCAGGCTACATAGTGGCATACTGCCTTGAAGGGTGGAGGATATATATATATACACACACACACATAAAATTTATTGTTTGTTGAAATGGTTTCTCTGTGTTGTGGCATCTGAGATACAACTAAGTCCGAGTATTGGGCAAAAGCCTGGAGATGTAACTAAAAGATGACATGTCCAGTGGTTTGTGCTAGGAGAGGGTGTGTCTGTCCAGCTTGATTCCAGGGAAGCAGCAGCCTTATATACAGACTTATAGCACCGTGGAAAAACCCCAGGTGTAAGAGCTCATGTTTTTGATGCCAGCTGGGCAAGGCCCAGGCTGAATTCATGGAGACCCTGTTGCAGCTGGGGCCCAACATCTCTCCCAACACTTAACAGTTCAAACTGCTTTCCCAATTCAACTTACATTGTTAAATTCCCATCAGAGCTTTAGTGAATATCCACTTGTCACTGTCAGTTGCAGCCATCTAGGTAGGTATGCTATGCCTATTTTTGTTTTTATATTTTAAGAGTATGAGTGCTTTTGTGAATATATGTACACTGAGTGCGTGCTTGGTATGCCTTACTTCTTTGAAAGCTAACAATAAGCCATTGCCTGGTCTTATTTTTGTATTTCATTTTTTTTTTTTTTTATTTTATTTTTTTTTTTTTTTTGGTTTTTTGAGACTGGGTTTCTCTGTAGCTTTGAAGCCTATCCTGGCATTCACTCTGGAGACCAGGCTGGCCTCGAACTCACAGAGTTCTCTGCCTCCCGAGTGCTGGGATTAAAGGCGTGCGCCACCAACGCCTGGCTGTATTTCAATTTTATAAATGCCAATAAAATCGTAATCTATTTCTTCACAGATAATGGAAACAAAATCAAAAATAGCACTTTTACAGAACAGGAAAAGGAATGCTGTCAGAGAAGAAAATGAAAGAAAATTACATGAATCAAGTACACTTTCAGAAAAAATAGGAGAAATACCAGAGAAAAAGGAAAAGGTTTCAGAGGTAATAGGAGTTGCAGTACAATGTAGCCAGGATGCATCACGGGAGGAGCGGCTTGTGAACTCGCCCCCAGTGACAGCGGGACCTGATATGGTGAAAGAGCAACTGGAAGACAGTTCAGAAGACTCTGAGATGTCAGGAGTGCTGCCTTCAGACCCAGGTTCATGGCCCCGAATATTGAATATGAAACAACGTGATACTCTTGTCAAAAATAATCCACCTCAAGTAAGAAATTTTAATTTTCCAAAAGACAGCACTGGAAGGAAGTTTTCAGAAGCGTACTACACACGGATTCTTCCAAGTGGTGAGAAAACCACCAGGTCCTGGCTACTCTATTCGGCCTCCAAAGACTCGGTGTTCTGCCTCTATTGCAGACTCTTTGGGGAAGGGAAAAACCAACTGAGAAATGAGAACGGGTGCAAAGATTGGCAGCATTTGTCACATATTCTTAGTAAACACGAAGAGAGTGAAATGCACATCAACAACAGTGTTAAGTATTCAAAATTAAAATCTTACCTGGAAAATAAAACCAGTGAAGCTACAGAGCATGGACTGTGTGAAGTTGAGGAAGATGGTGTGCTGCTCTTGTATACATAACTTCCTGTCTGCTCTAGACATGACAGTCAGTGCAGTACCCAGAGAAGTTTGTACCAGGAGCCAGTGCCAGTACATTGTGGCACTTAAGTGGAGGGACTTAGAGGATTGTGTGTTACCAACATATCTAATAGCAAATAAGTAGTAAAAAAAAATCCTGTTACAGATGGAAAAACAATTGGAGCGAATAGTCATTCTTGCAGATTTTAGTAAAGACAGTTTGAGTTTTTTGTCTATGTGGGGTCTCACCTTATAAAGTTGTTCTTAGATGACTTCCACTTTATGGCCTGAGAACCAGAAATGACAAGATACAAGCATTTTTTAACATTGTTAAAGAAAATATATTCAGGCTGTGAGTGTTGACACGTGACTTTTATCCCAGCACTCAGGTGGCAGAGGCAGGTGTATCTCTTGAGTTTGAGGTCAGCCTAGACCAGGACAGCCAGGGCTACACAGAGAAACCCTGTCTTGAAAAACCAAAAAGGACAATATATTCAAGCAGCTTAAGAACGGAGTAAGATCTGAAGCTACAGATGTTTGCTAATAAACCAAATTCTCATGTTTTCTTTCTTTACAACATTTTTCTATTTGTGCAAATAAGTTCATTTGTTATAATAAAGTAATTTGAATTTTATTGGTTTGTATTGGTTTTCAATTTAATATATACATGTTTTAGCTTTTGTTACAAGAATTATAATTACTAAGAATATACAGCTATTTTTATCTTAGTATGAATATAAGAAACATAAAAATGTATGTAGCTAGGCAGTGGTGGCACACACCTTTAACCCCAGCACTTGGGAGGCAGAGGTAGTTAGATCTCTGTGAGTTCAAGGCCATCCTGGTCTACAAAGCAAGTTCCATAACAGCCAGAGTTACATAAACTATCTCAACAAAATACAAGTGTTCGTGTATTTAACTTTTCAGTGTTATACTTCTTCCTGTGCAAGTATACGCCAGGCCAGGTGTTGGTGGCTCAAGCCTTTAGTTCCAGCACTTGGAAGGCAGAGGCAGGTGGATCTCTGAGTTTGAGACCAGACTGGTCTACAAGAGCTAGTTCCAGGACAGGCTGCAAAAGCCACAGAGAAACTCTGCCAGAAATCCTGCCTCCTCTCCTGCCTAACTACTGGCCTTTCAGGAGACTCCTCAAGTCCTGTAGCGAGCCTTTAAGTAATATGAGTTGTTACCCAGTCTGGAGCGGGCTTTTTGGTGACAAAGCTGTCTTCAAGTCACCCATGCTCCTGAAACTAAACCTGAATCCATACTGCTGTAGATAGCCCCTATAAATTTATTGACTTACTAACTTGGAATTAGATCTATCATTTCTTTACTCTATCATTGATATCCTATATGGGGTTAGTAGTTTGACACCATGTTTCAAAAGTAGAATGGACATCTCGGGAAAGATACCCAAGGTTGACCTCTGGCCTCTACATGAGCACACATGTACCTGCACACAAAATTACCTGTTCCTGTGCTTGGTATAAATAAAAGGGCTGAATACAAAGCATGGTTTTATTTTCACCAAAATATATTTTCAGTTGTGATGTTTTAAGTGTTGTCAGTGTGAAGAAATCTAGATCACCTGGGAGATGGGCCACTCAGCATTATGTTAGTTGGGGTGGGAAGACCCAGCTTTTTGTTTATCTTTCAAGACAGTGTTTCCCTGTACAGCGGTGACTGTCCTGGAATTCACTCTGAGGCCAGGCTGGTCTGGGAACTCTTTGAGCTTGGATTAAAGGTGAGCACCACCACTACCACCCTACAGGAAGACCCATCTTAATTGTGGGTGGGACCATTGCCTAGACAAAGGACGTGTGAGAAGAATGTATGCATGAATTCAATGTTCCCTTGACTGTAGTTGGAATGTCACAGTCTGCTTCAAATTACTGCTACTTCAACTTCTTTGGGATGATGAACTGTGAGTTAAAATGAATCCTTTCTTCCTTAAATTACCTTTTTTTCCAGAGTATTTTATCAAAGCAACAGGAAATGAAACAGACAGTTTTAAAGAGGGGAGAGAGAACTGGAGAGATAGCTTGGAGGTTAGGAGAAATTGTTGATTTTGTAGGAAACTTGGGTTGGGTTCCCTGCACCTATTTGGCAGCTAACAACTATCTGTAGCTGGAGTTACAGGCAATTGTAAGCTGCTGAATGTGGGTGCTGGAAACAGAACTTGGTTCTTTTCCAAGAACAATAGGTTTCATTAACCACTGAGTCAACTCTCCAGCCCCTCATTTATTTATTTATTTATTTGTTTATTTGATTATTTATTTTGAGACAGAGTTGTTTCTCTGTGTGGCCTTGGCTGTCCTGAAACTCAATCTGTAGTTCAGGCTGGCCTTGAGCTCTCAACAGAACTCTTCCTGCTGCCTTCCGAATGCTGGGACTAAAGATATGAGCTACCACTTCCTGGCTGACTTCTTAAAGTGCTATGTGTTGCTGGCATTTTCTTGTCCCACCAGGTCCCAATGCCACTTCATCCCCAAATAAACACACAAAGACTTACATTAATTATTAAATTGTTGGCAGATGGCTAGGGCTTCTTATTGGCTAACTCTGTCTTAATTACTAACCCATTTCTATAAATCTATGTATTTCTACATGGCCTTATCTTACCAGAGAATGCCTGGTGCATCCTATCCTTTGATCCCTACATGGCGTCTCCCTCTGCCTACCTTTCCCAGAATTCTCATCTCTTAGTCCGGCCTATCTTCCTGCCTCTATTGGCCAAACTGTTTTATTCATCAACCAATAAGAGAAACATATACAGAAGGACATATCCCATCAACTATGTAACCCTCAATAGCCTGGAACTAAGTACACCAGATTATCCTTGAACTCATAGAAAACTGTCTGTCTCTGCATCCAGAGTGCTGGAATTAAAGGTGTGCACCACCAACGTCCAGCTGACAGTTTCCTTTGAGATTGAAATGTTCCATCCCGCAGGGAAGTCCCTTAAACAGGAAGGTATACAACTCAAAGGAGTTTCAGGAAGTTCCTGAAGCTGACCAGATTCACTGGTACCCTTCCACCAGAGTAAGTAATAAAGCTGGCAGTCCCTCAGAGACTGAAGGAACAGAACTTCAAAGACGACTCAGACAAGCCAAAACAGCTGCCTAGAAGGAGCAGAAACCAGCTGGCACCGAAGAGGTTTAGACCAACTAAAGCACTGGGGAAGGACACTCTCCAATCTGCTGAACTGCCTGCAGGCTGGGCATTGTGCTCTACTGTTTCCAGCTTTGTGAACTGTCAACCAAACTGAGGTGAGCATTGGTAATACATCTATCTTTGAGTCATTTCCACTCCTACAAGTAAGCTCTTACTCATATTCCTATAAGTTAACCCCAGCAATTCCCTGGTTCACCAAGTTGAACTTCGGTGGTATCTGTACTTTGGCCTGACATGGGCTCCCTATCTGGGATGAGTAGATACGTTGTATCCTATTGGAAAAGTTTTGTCACATAACAAATGTGGAACAATACTGCCGCAAATAACAAGCAGCCTAAGGAAAAGAAGGAAAGCTGTTAAACTAAAGGATAAATATGGGGGCTGGAGAGATGGCTCAGAGGTTAAGAGCACTGAGGTCCTGAGTTTAATTCTCAGGAACCACATGGTGGCTCACAACAATATATAATGAGATCTGGTGCCCTCTTCTGTTGTGCAGGCAGAACACTGTACATATAATAAATAAATAAATCTTAAAAATATGAAAAGAAAGTCAGGCGTTGGTGACAAACGCCTTTTTTTTTTTTTAAGATTTTATTTATTATGTATACAACATTTTGTTTCCATGTATATCTGCACACCAGAAGAGGGCACCAGATCTCATAACGGATGGTTGTGAGCCACCATGTGGTTGCTAGAAATTGAACTCAGGACCTCGGGAAGAGCACCCAGTGCTCTTAACCTCTGAGCCATCTCTCCAGCCCCGGTGGCACACGCCTTTCATCCCAGAACTCAGGAGGCAGAGGCAGATGGATCTCTGTGAGTTTGAGACCAGCCTGGTCTGCAAGAGCTATTTCCAGGACAACCTCCAAAGCCACAGAGAAACCCTGTCTCGAAAAACCAAAAAAAAAAAAAAAAAAAAAAAAAAAAAAAGAAAAATGTTGCTGCCTACAGAACTAAAGGGAAACCTGATACAGAGAACAAAGGGTGTTGTGAGGTGCCGGGTCCGGCCTGTATCAGTCCCATGATACAGAGGCCATCTATTCTGGACTAATGTTGTCTTTGGGGCTGCAATTGGAACAGCCCTGGGTCCATCCCTGAGTGGGGGAGTGAGTGAGGATTGGGAAACTCCTAGCTACCCAACATCATTAACAGAGATATCTTGTCATCTCAGGAGGGCTCTCAGTTCATGTTAGAGTCCACAGTTTATTCAAGCATCTTCTTAAAGCACTTTCCAACAGTGGGGGTGATAGCAGAAGACATCTATTATCATGTATAAAGCTGATATCAATTATTTCCTTTAATCCTAGAGACAATCTTAGAACTGCATGTCCTCACCAGTCTCCCACCAGTCCCTAGGCATGTATTCAAACCCTCAGACATTCCACAAGGGCCCCAGCCTTCCGGCAGCAGACACATTTCATTAGCCCTCAGAATAGGTGTGAGCCCACCCAGGGCCTAGGTGTATTGTAATACAAACTATGAACCATTCTCCACCTTGGCCATGCCATCTGGAGGTAACCAGCTGGCATCTAAAAGACAATGGGAGCTTCGAGCTCCTGTAATTGAGCCGAGGTTTGCACCCCAAAATATCATAGTCAATATTTTTGGGGCCCTGACAGTCAGGGCTGAAAAGAGCAGGAAAATGAGGACACAAAGAGGATGAGGAAGAGGAGGGAGAAGATGAAGAAGGAGATGGTAGCTGGGTCATGGTGGCACACACCTTTAATACCAGCACTTGGGAGTCAGAGGCAGGTAGATCTCTGAGTTCCAGCCCAGCCTGGTCTACAGAGTGAGTTCAAGGATAGCCAGAGCTACACCAAGAAACCCTGTCTGAAACAAAAAAGAGAAAGAAAGAAATAGAAAAGAAAAAAAAGTTGATGATGAGTAAATTGGTTTTAGTGGTTTTTTTTCTTGTCTATAAAGCATTTAAGATGCCCCTTCACAACTCCTCTCCTTTTTAAATTTATTTATGTATTTGTTTGTTTTTCAAGACAGGGTTTCTCTGGGTAACAGTCTTGGCTATCCTGGAAATAGCTCTGTAGACCAGGGTGGCCTCGAATTTACAGAGATGTGCCTGCCTCTGCCTCCTCAGGGTTGGGATTAAAGGTGTTCTCCACCACTTCGTAGCAAAATTATTGATTTTTATTTTATGTATATTGATTTGTCTGCAAATATGACAATGTGAGGGTGTTGTATATTCTGGAGTTCCAGACAGTTGTGAACTGCCATGTCAATGCTAGGAATTAAATCTGTATCCTTTGGAAGAACAGTCCCTGCTCTTAATCACCAAGTGGTTTCTGCAGCCCCACAACTCCCCTCCTAAAGAAAAAAAAATCATTGACGGGAGACTGTGCGGAGTGGTGGTGGCTCACACCTTTAATGCTAGCACTTAGGAGGCAGAGGCAGCTGGATCTGTGTGTGTGTGAGGCCAGCATGGTCTACAGCGAGAGTTCCAGGGCAGGC